TCAGGTCATGATCCCAGGGTCCTGGGATCGAGCCCCGCATTGGGCTCCCTGCTCGGCAGGAAGCCTGCTTCTCCCTCTCCTGCTCCCCCTCCTTGTGTTTCCCTCTCTCGCTGTGTCTCTCTCTGTCAAATAAATAAATAAAATCTTTAAAAAAAAAAACAACAAAACTTATTTTGTTCTCTTTTCAGGTTGAAGAAAAAGGAGTTTAGTTTAGAAGAAATCTATACCAATAAGAATTATAAGTCTCCTCCTGCAAATAGGTGGGTACATGAGTAGGACTTAATAGACTGGGAGGGCTTCTGAAATGATCGATGTAAATCTCCAATCCTTTCACTTCAGAAAGGGTTTTATGTTCAGTTATTGGAAATAACATGAATTGATATTTTTACTTCCCAGCTTTTGAACTGGGGTTGGTGGTAGGATGGGACAGGAACATGTGTTGAATGAGGTAGGTACAGAAAACGTCTTACTTCAGTTTGTACTTGTGTTTTTAACAAATAGGCCAGCTCTCTTCTTCAGGACTAATAATCATCAATCTTCAGATAGGATTACAAACCCAAATACAGAATGGATTTCATTGGCTACCTTCAAGTCTGAATTCAGTTTAAGTCAGGGAACATTTATTAAATTCCTGTTGTGTCCAGGTTGTAGCAGGAGAGTTCCAGGATTTTATCCTGTAAGGTGAACATTTGCTCTAAGTCATTTGTACAAGATTATTCATTGCAGCATTGCTAAATAATAGGAAAGGATTGGAAACAACTGAAAATATCCACTAATTGAGTTCTGATTAAATTATAATCCAGCCTTATAATGGAATGTACTATATAGCCATTGAAAAGAATGAATCAGGAGTGCCTGGGTGGCTCAGTCGGTTAAGCGTCTGCCTTCAGCTCAGGTCATGATCCCAAGGTCCTGGGATTGAGTCCCGTGTCGGGCTCCCTGTTCTGTGGGGAGTCTGCTTCTCCTTCACCCTCTGCCCCTACCCCCCACTCGTGCTCTCTCACACTCTC